CGTTCGCCGGCGCGCGCGCGCACACACACACACACACAGACATACACAAACACATATACACACACATACATACACACACAAACATGCACACACAAACTATTAAACAAACAAAAACAAAACAAAAACAAAAACTCCTCCAAACTTCTTATGGATGTAGCGACCTTGGGTGCATGTCTTATCTAGGTGACTACCTCTTCCACTACTTCCACTACTTCCACTCAACATCACGCGAGATATCATACACCACGTTGCAAGAATGCGTCGTGGTGAAATCAGGTGCTCGTCAAAATAATGAAACCGAAGAAGCAGGCATCTTTTCGCAAGTTTGTCAATAAATATCGGATTTTTGTGTATTAGCTCAACACCTTTCATGTCCATGCAACACCACACTTCCATGGAAACTTTACTGAAAAACGTTGAATAAAGGTGCGAAAAATAATATATGTTCAGCTTTCGATGCCTTTCGAGGACTCTCAAACTAATGAAGTTACCACACGTTGGCCATTTTCTCGCTAATTTGACTCCTGAAACCAGACAACCCCCATTTCCTTCAATTGCACGTATCTCAACATCTGTTCAAGATAGATGGGCATCTTTTTCATCGAAAACTAGGCAAATGAGCAATCTTTCAGGAGATACTAATAACTCCACATGCACCCAAAATTGACGAGCGCACGATTCCGCCGCGCCCTGACACTATTATTATTTCCTGTGCCAGGTTTAAGTGGCGGGTCAAAACACTCTGGCCAAAATCAGGCCACAGCAACACCATATGACACCTGTATTTGCTTTTCATGTTTTATTATTTTCTTCTTGCTGTTGGTTTTTTGTTTTGTTTTGTTTTTTTCTCAACGTTATCTTGTGTGACCTTTGAACTGTGCACCACGCTGGATTAAGAGAGGTGGGTCGAGCCCTATATAGACGCCCAGGTTGAAAGATCAAGCTCTTTTTTTCCAGTTGTCAGCCACTGCAAAAAAACGTAGCAGCCTTGAGGTCAGTGTTGTTTTTGTATACGCTATAAAATTGGGCTCTTTTTTTTAAACTTGCCAATTGTACGACTGTTGTTATAACCGCCTTAAGTGTAATTGAGTGTAATAGACAGGGATTTGAATGGATAGACTCATCATTCCTGGGCAGCCAAAGGGAATATTCAGACGGATTAAGTAAACTCTCATTTCGTAAGATTCTAGTTCTAAAAATACTAAGACTTCCACATTTTTTTAAAACCAATAGGCCTACAGTTCAAATTTTGCATGATCTTAACAACCACTTTGCAAATGTTGTCAACATCATATGAACATCGTCTTTTTTGCTTGGGTTTTTAAAAAAAATGTTGTCACTCTTTTTATGATCCTTCCCCCCTAAATTTTTCGCGTTTTCCAGATACAGCACACAAAATAAGCTACTAAAACAAAACTTCGAGAATGATGCAGTTTTCTTGATGACGAAAATTGTGTATTGTAGTTTTTGGTTATATTATTACCAAATAACAAAGCATGTAATTGAAAAATGAAAAAGCCTTAGGATTGTTTCAATGTCCTAAATTTTGGGGTAACTGTTACATAATATACCTCGCAGTTGTCGATGAATGATGATTTCATAGGGGTGTCCATTGGGGGATCGGGTCGGGTCGGGGCGGTTTGCTCGCCAGACTGAGGGCTCGAAGC